AAGGCAGGTGCCCTCGGGGGCTGGGGAGCAGCCAAGCCTCTCCCACCATGGCCAGTGGTGTTTTGGGGAGCCAGCACAATGCACTCCTTTGTAGGGTCCTTTGTTCTCAACTGGAGGCAGGTGGAATTGCTGGTGGATGCCAGAGCTGCTGCCCTGGCTCCCAGGCGCTCTCTGCAGCCCCTCTGGATCTGACCTTCCCTGCAGGGTGGACGAGGTGAACTGGTCTCACTGGAACCAGAATCTGGGCATCATCAGTGAGGATCCGGGCAAGAACGACACATACCAGTACTATGGCTTCTCCCACACCATGGGCCGGCTGCGGAGAGGTGAGCGCCATGTCGTGGGCTGGGAACATCCCTCAGGATCTGTGGGGAGGTGAACGTGGTGCCGTGGGCTGGGAGCATTCCTTGGGATGCTGCTTGCAGCCTCTGCTGAGCCCTGAGAGCAGATTTGTGGGCTGACCAGGGAGCAACCACAGGCTACTGGCTCTGCCAATTCCCACCCTCCCCACAGATCGCTGGTCGACCGTGGTGCCGCGCGTGGTGGAGCTCAACAAGAGCTGCCAGCCGGAGGAGGTGGTGGTGCCGCTGGGGACCATGGGCACGGCGGAGCCGCGGGAGCGGCGGCACGGCCAGGCCCCGAGCTCCCCGCTCTAGCACAGTGGTGCTGGGAGCTCATGGACTCTGCCCGGGCCACCAGAGCAGTTCCGGAATTGCGACTGGGCTGGATGGTGCTTGTCTGCTCCTCAGGGATTCGTGCAGCCTCCGTCCCTCAAGCAGCTGCTGTCCCGGTGGGTGTCCAGCCTGGATGGGGGGTCCTGGCCCTTTCCTGGCCATGCTGGAGGTCTCGGCTCTCACCGATGAGCTCCAGTGCCACCGCTTCCCTTCACCACGCTGGCGCCATTGGCTGTGCCATGCCGGCAGCCTCTGGGCTGGGTGTGGGAAGCACGGCCCCCACCGCCCACCAAGGCCAATGGTTTTGCCACAGTTTTTTGCACAGGATTTATATGACTATTTATTTAGTAATAAAGACTGACCCGCCAGCGCTGCCTCCTCCTGGCATTGACTGATTCCAGCTGGGAGAGCCGTGCTGCCGGCACGTCCTGGGGAGGGATGGAGGAGCCGGCTGCAGCCTGTGCTGTGCCGAGCCATGGCCAGTGAATGGCCACCCATCACACTGAGCTCAGGTGCTGTACACGGATTTGCAGGGCCTTGGTGTGCAGGTGGAGTGCACGGATGGGATGTGCAGGTGGAGTGCACAGATATGATGTGCAGGTGGAGCGCACGGATGGGATGTGCAGGTGGAGCGCACGGATGGGATGTGCAGGTGCAGCGCACGGATGGGATGTGCAGGTGGAGTGCACGGATGGGATGTGCAGGTGGAGCGCACGGATGGGATGTGCAGATGCAGCTCACGGTTGCGGTGCGGGGCCGGGGCTGCGCGGCCGCCGCTCCACTGGAGGGCACCACACACCGCGCGATGCGGGACCGGCCGCGGGGCAGCGCGGGGAGCCCGGGCTGGTCCCGACCTGCACCCGGCGGGCAGGCGGGGGAACTGGGTATCCGGGGTGGGGGAGTGGAACCGGCAACAAACCAGTGCTCCCCATCCCCTCCCCATCTCATCCCTACCCTATCCCATCCCCGTGAATCCCCATCCCATCCATCACCCCTCTGTAACTCCATTCCTTCTCATCTAATACCCGCGTGGAGCGGGGGGTGCGCTTTCCTTTAACAGCTGGACGTTGTGCAGCTGTGAAGGAGTGATTTAAGTGGGAAACAGTGACACGGTGGCAAAGACCATGGCCAGGGCCTTGGGGGCAGCCCGGCTCGCTCAGCAAATGCTTTAGCAGCAATGGGGACACTTCATCTTCAAATGTGATGAGTCGCTGTCAGCGTTAACGGCACCGTCTCCGTTTAAATGTGATTTACATACATCTCTCATATTGTGGTTTAAGTATTTCCCCAGGGTGAGGGATGAATATGTTTCATTATCACTCCTTGGGAGAGGCGGAGGTGGCAGCTCCCGCTGCATAATCGAATGAGGAGCTGAGCTGCTCCCCTTCCAGGCCAGTTCTTGGGTAAAAATGATAAACTTGGCTTTCACCTGGCTGGGTGGCTACAGGTCCAGTGGCCAGTCCCAACTGGGCCATGTGGTGTGGCTGAAGGAGCCCTGGAAGAGGACTCAGCCATCTGGCGTGCTGGAGATGGGCTCACCACTGCAGCTGCCCCGGGCTGCAGCACCAGACATGGGATTTTCCGGTAAAATTAGATATAAACCAATTTTTTCCCCTCCTGTGCAAATCCTGATGTCACAAAGCTGAGGGGCTGCATGTGAGTGTGCTTTAAAAGGACTTGGGATGTGGGAAGGGTGGCTGTCACTGTGCCCCAGCACCCTGAACCATCACCCTGCAGTGGCTCGGTGGGGATGGGGACACTGTGGCCACCACAGTGACATCCCAGCACAGGACACCTCTGCCACCTTCAGGGCTGCAGGGCTCGAGTTTAGCCCTTTTACCCCCTGCCCCACCAAGCCCTGAGCTGTTGCACCCTCAGCTGGGGTGGGGGGGGGCACCCCGGGGGCCGGCGAACTGGGGGTGCTCGGTCCTGGCCCCCTCCCACCCCTCCCCTCCCCGCCCTGCTAGGGATGACAAACCCAACAAAGGGAAGAGAAAAGCACTTGTCATCCAGAATGCGGAGCGCGGAAGCAAATTTATTTTTAGATAAATCTAAAGCTTAATTTGTGAAGCTAATATCAATCAAAATGAGAGATGGGGTTTTTTAAGTCCTTTTGCAGCCGTGCAATTTATACTGCTTGTCTCTCCTCCTCAATCCCAAACAGCAAAGGCAGCCACTAAGTTTAATATCAGCCTCATGCACACCTGCCTTAGAAATTTTTATTATTATTGCAATTATTATTATTATTTGAATAGGAAGATGTTTGCAGACCAGAAAGAGCATCGTGTTTCCCTCGGCACGTTCCCACAGCGCTCATGGGGAGCTGCGCCCCACAGGAATGGGAGGGTGATGGGTTGTGGTGGCTTTGCCCTGGGTGCTGGGGTGCACCTCGGTGGTCCCTGCCCCATCTCCCAGGAGCGTCTGTCACATTTTAAGTCCCCATGTGCTCACCTGTGCCCGCCAGGGCCAGCACTGCAGCAGTCCTGGCTGGAGGCAGGAGCCACCAAGGAGGGACCCATTTATTCTGCATTCCACAGCTGAAGTCTCCCGGTACACACTGAAATCCTCCTCCAAAGGAGTGATCTGAGGGGAGAATTAACCTGCTAAATAATACAAACCCCGCGCACCTCCTAATGAAATGTAATGACTTGGAGACCTGCAAGATGGATCGCGCCGTCGCTCGCAGCCGCTCGCCCTGATTTATGGCGAGCTGGGAAATCTGATGGAGGCAGCGCTAATGAATCCCCCTCCCACGGGCACCGCTGGTGGAGCAAAGTTTCTCCCGGAGCCCCCCGTGAAGCTCCGTGTACCCCGGCCTCAGGAGGGCCCCCCCTCCGGCGCTGGGGGACCCCCAGGGAGGGGCTACCCAGCACAGAGGGACCCGCCAGCCCCGCCGCGCTCCAGCCTCACATTCCTTTGATGTGGCATCTTTTTAATGACAAAGATCTGAGTGAAGATCTTCCTCCAGACGGACTAATTTTAACACGCAGGCAGGCAGTGGCACCCCCCATCAGTAACATTAACCTCTGTGAAAATTTCCTTTTGTCCCAATTTCTCTTTGTTCCCTGGATCGGCTGTCAGCCGCTCGCAGCCGGTGACGGAGCGGTCCCCTCCCGCCACGCCATAAATATCGGCGCCGCCGTTACGGCGGGTGAGCAAACAAGACAAATGGAGCCGCCGTCCCCGGCTGCAGCCACAGCCACGGGGTAGCTCCAAGTGCATGGCTGTGTGACCATCCCTGTCCTTGTCCCCATCCCATCCCTATTCCTTTCTCATCCCCATCCCCACCCTGTCCTCAGCCCTGTCCCTATCCTCATCCCCTTCCCCATTCCCATCTCATCCCATCTTATCCCTGTCCCTGTCCCATCCCCATCCCTATCCCTGTCTCATACTCATCCCACCCCATCCCCATCCCTGTCCATGTTCCATTCCCATCTCTGTCCCCATCCCATCTCCATCCCCGTATCTGTACCCACCCTCATCCCCATTCCACCCCATTCTCTCCCGTCCCATCCCATCCTGTCCCATCCCATCCCTGTGCCCTCCCAGCCATGCAAGGAAGACAACTGAGCCCTTCCCACCCTCAGCCCCCTCTCTGGCTGGGATAAGGACACGCTTCATGTCACTGCCACAGGTCATGGGGCCAGGGAGACACATCCACAGCTCAGAGCTGTTGGGGACTTCATACTGTTATCCTAATGCAACCGGTTCACTGTTGGGGCTGGAAAGCTGCTGACAGGCAGAGCAGGGGCGGTCTGATTTAGAGGAGAGCAGCCCCCCAGCCAGAGCAGGGCTCTTGGAGAGCCCCTATCCCACCTGGGCACCAGGAACGCTCCTGCCAGGGGGGAAACTCAGTGGAAACTCGCCAGGGATGACAGAAGGCAGCGGAGGTGCCACCACCGCACCAGTGATGGTGGCGGGAGGGGGACACGGTACCTGATCCCGGTGCCCACCACTGGGGCCTCGGGGTGGCGAGGGCCGAACATCCCAGAGCATCCCAGGGGTGCACGTGAGGCCGCAGCCCTAATCCCCAGGGATCTGGGCCACGTGCCCCGTTGGGTGCGAGGCGGAGGCTGGCGCCGGGGACTGATTAATGGCTCAGTGTCGTTAACAGGTTATTTATAGGTGCTCCTCCATGCCCTAAAAATCTGCAGGGAGCAGGGAGGTGTCCCGGCTCTGGGGGGGCCCAGGGGAGGCCACAGCAAAGCAAAGAGACTCCAGAGCACACATCCAGCGAGATCCTGGTTTTACTTTGGGAAAAACACCATCCGGACACACGGCTTGCGGGTTTTGTGTTGGTTTTTTTTTTTTTCTTTTTTACCTTTTTTTTTTTTTCCATTTGTTTTCTCATTTTTAAAACAATATAGTGCAGCCAGCACTTCTCACAGTAGAATATAATGGTCAATTTTAGTATAAAAAAAAAACATTCTCAGAGATTTGTAAATGCACTTAGTGCTTGAACAGGCTTTCAGGGATACAGTACCTCTTTTCCGAGCACAATCACCTTGGGTTTCATCGGGATATTATTCTTCTTTTACCTTTAAACATCAAAACACTTTGTATTTAGTGGTGAGGAGCCTTTTTTAAATGAACAAATCTATTAAACACGGAATTACACAGAGTGAATAACGGACCATAATGAGCATTTTGGAATTGTTTGGGTTTTTTTTTTTAAAAAAAAAGAGAAAAAAAAGGAGGTATGTGAGTGCCCTGGTACCACGGTCACCTCTAACCCAGAACCAAGGTAGAACTGACAGTAAGGGGGAGAAATAAAACAGCCTGGAAGTGTGAGAGCCGGGGGATTCCAGGGGAGAGGGGGTCCTGAACCTCCTGGTTGAGTGGGAATAGGAGCCGGTGACCACCGCTGGGCCGGGTGAGAGGAGGAGGATGAGGAGGAAGAGGGGTGGGAGGAGACTCTGTAGCAGCCAACACGTAGATGTACAGCCTAGTCAACTAAAAAAAAAAAAATTAATAAAAAAAAAAAACAACAAAAAAAACCAAAAAAATCTGTTCAAGTTTTCAAGTGTTTTTCTTAAATAGCCTCCAGACTGTCCCCAGTTATTAGCTTTAATCAAAGCAGTGCAAGTTACGGACTTCAGCTACAGGTCAGGTGGCAGCTCCCTGCGGCCACACGCCGGCCACACACCGGGCTGGGACCGGCCACCACTGGGCTGGGACTGCTCACCATGGAGCCTCCTGGCCACCACTGGGCTGGGACCAGCCACCACCGGGCTGGGACTGGCCACCATGGAGCCTCCCGGCCACCACTGGGCTGGCACTGGCCACTGTGGAGCTTCCTGGCCATGGCTGGGCTGGGACTAGCCACCATGGAGCCTCCTGGCCACCACTGGGCTAGGACTGGCTATCACAGAGCCTCCTGGCCACCACTGGGCTAGGACTGGCTACCACAGAGCCTCCTGGCCACCACTGGGCTAGGACTGGCTACCACAGAGCCTCCTGGCCACCACTGGGCTAGGACTGGCTACCATGGAGCCTCCTGGCCACAGCTGGGCTGGGACCCACCATGAAGCCTCCTGGCCAGCCACGGCACAGGGCTCTGTCCCGCATGGACCTGGCGCTGCCAGTGCGTGGTAGAGCCTCCCCTCCCTGGATAGCAGCAACTCGTAGCAATTCCCTGTTCACATTCGTGGAGATAAAATGATTTCTGAGCTATATAGACAAGCAGTCCTTCAGCCTCGGCTTCCAGCAGGTCGCGGGTGTATCCAGTTTGGGGACCCCGGTGAAATGCCAGTGTCCCAGGAGCCCTTTCAGCAGCCGACTTTGTGTCCCCCTCCCTGTCCCCCCGCCCTCGCTTCCGCGGTCCAGTACCGGCACAGTGCCGGAGGGGAGCGCGGCTCGTGCCAAAGTCCTCGCCCTGGGTTTGGGAAGAGCAGCATCGGTCCCTTATCTGTAGACGGGCAGGCGGATGTGGGCGTGCTGGTGGTCCAAGAGCCTTGGCACAGACACGGTCTCGTAGCCCTTGCCCAGCATCTGTTCCTTGATGCAGGGCGGGTGGATGTCGTTGATGAGATACTCCAGGGACTGGAGGCTGCTGCTGAGGATGGAGGTATTGCAGAGCGTCTTGCTGGGCAGCCCCTCAGCCGGGGGCACCCCCAGCTCGCGGGGCCCGGCCCCCAACTCCGGCGGGTTGTAACAGTCACTGTTGGGGGTCACCAGGATGCTGTTCCAAGGGGGAGCGAAGTACTGCCCCACTGAGAAGTTGCCGTGCATGCAGTTCAAGGGGGACGAGCTCACCTTCTCAGCCGCACCGCCCAGGCCGTAGGGGCGTGAGGCGCCCGCGCACGTCTCGGGGGACTTGCTGAGGGCCCCCCCACCGCCGCTGCCCCCGCTGTACATTCGCAGGTGCTGCTGCTGCTGCTTCTGCTGCCAGACCAGGTAGTCCATGCCCTCGGGGTAGACGCCTGCCTTGGGTCCCAGGGCAGCGGCCGGGTTGGAGCCCAGTGCCAGGTCGGCGCCCTTGCGGCACTCGGGCAGGACGGTGCCGGCATAGGCGGTGCCGAAGGTGCCGTGCTTGGCTGGGCTGGGGTGGGCGGCCACGACGGCCGGGCAGCCTGGCTGGGCACCCTGCGCCTGGCACTGCTGATTGATCTGGTAGATGATGCTCTGGATGGAGGGCAGGTTGGAGGGTGGCAGGGCCAGGCTCCTGCCCGCCAGCGGCAGCACCGAGGCCGCCACCGTCACGTTGGGCACAGGACCCTCCAGCTGCTTCTGGCTGCCGTGGTAGCTCAGCTGCCCGGCGCAGGAGGGACCTGGAGCTAAAGTGCTTGAGGCGGGGTAGGGAGCGACGCCCACCTGGGCGGGCGAGAGCTTAGTCCGCTTCCCCTCCGAGTTCTTCACCACGCTTTTGCTGGAGGCTTTGACGATGGCCAGCAGACCCTGGTAGCCGCCGGCGTGCAGGGGGTAGGGGCTGTACCGCTGCCCTGTGGTGTCGTAGCCATTGACCGTCCGGTTAAGGTGCTTGTGCTGGGGGACCCTGATGTTGGTGGGGAAGATCTTGATGGTCAGTGGGCTGTTGGCCACCTTCTGTGCGTAGGCGTCCAGCTCGGCGGGGCTGGGGTAGCGCGGGGAATGCATCGGTGCCACCGTCTCACCTGCGGGGGCAAAGGGTACGGTGAATCTGGCGTTGCTGGGACGAAGGGACCTGGCAACCCTGCACCCACCACCCCCCCAACCGGATCCCACTCGCTCCCGGCAGAAACCAGGTCACGGCACCAACCTGCCCCCTCCTGCTGACGGAGTCACTTGTAAGTGGCCTAAAATAAACTCGGTGTGGAGAATGGAAATGTCACTTTACCCAACGGGGGAATCTTTCTCCGAGATTGGATTTAAACTACATTATACAAGCAATTTCATGGGTGCTTTGCGCTGCTACGAGAACCTCACCAAAAATGGAAAAGCATTGCATTTACCAGCCATAAATCAGCAGTTCCTATAATGAGCACAAAAATGTCACTTTTATGCAATTTTACAGATGAACAAAACTGGTGAAATTAACTGTGGTAACCTACTGGAGTCAGCAAAAGCCACTGCAGAAAAAAAAATTATATATGTATATAGTTTTGTTCCTTTCAAACTCTTTCCTGAGCAAGTTTCTGCCATTCTGGTGTGAAAACTCATTTGTCGTTCCCATTATACTTTCATTTGGAGTTTATCTTGAGTATCCAATGAGCCACCAACTGTGAAAATGATTAAATCTACAAAATCTATCTAATAGATGGAATAAATTAGGTGTTTAAAATCTACACACACACACACACACAGAAGCACATGCACGTACACGTCGGCACATGGGAATGATGGTTCCCAGCTGGTCCCCAAACTCCCAGCCCTGCCAAGGGATGTCTGTGGCACATCAGGAATGCCAGACCTGGTGCCTGCTCAGAGGAAGGTTTTGCAAGGTGGAGATGGTCAAATTGGAGGGGTTGGGGCTGGCAGCCCCCACCGAGGAGACCCAGCCCTCCCAGGAGCCCTTTTTGAGGATCCCGGGGTGTGCAGACCCCCGTATCTGGGGGCAGGGGACTGCAGCCTCCCTGATGGGGAGCACTTTGCTCCCGATCCACCAGGACCAACAATTCCTGATGCCACCACGTGCTGGGTGGCAAAGTCACCACAAAGAGCTGCACCACTGGGTGCATTTCACACCCCAACAGAGTCATTTCCTGTCCCAATCCTGCTCCGAGTGATGTTTCCATGGCTGTGGCATGCTCGGATGAAACAGGAACTGTGTTAAAACCAGGATTCAGGGGAGGGGGGCATTTGCAGCCGTAGGGCACCACGTCACCCCCCAGCATCAGAGAGGTGTTTGTGGGGGAGGCAGCAGCGATGCCATGGCCTCTCTCCAAGTTCTCCATGCTCTCTATTCTCTCCAAGCTCTCCATGCTCCCCGTGCTCTCCAAGCTCTCCATGCTCTCTATTCTCTCTAAGCTCTCCATCAGCGCAGTAATTGAACAGGCAGGACGCAGTGCCTGCGCCAGCCATTCCCCCCATTAAGCTGATGTTATGGGCTTTTTACAGGTGTCTTAAATAGACACTGTTATTAACGAGTGTATTAAGCCAATTAAAACCAGTGCCTTTGAGTAGGATTTAATGGAGCTGCCGGGAGACAGGAGGGCACAGCAACAGCAGCTCCCTCCGGCAGGACACGTGCGGGTGTGTGGCATTGGCCCTGCCAGGGACATCCCGGGCACCAACTGGGCAGCCTCTGGAAAACTCTGGCACACCTGCAGAGCAGCTGGTGAGGCGTGTGGGCACATGTGAGTGTGCATGGTGGGTTCTGCGGGGCACGGGCAGCCCCCAAGCCAGCGAGTGCAGGGGGCTGTGAGCAGGACTACCCTGCCCAGTGGCACAGCATGGCACGGCATGGCACAGAATGGCATGGCACGGCATGGCACGGCATGGAATGGAACGGCGCAGCACCAGCAGAGCACAGCGCGGCATGGTGAGCCACGCACATCTGCATTCCCCTTCATGCCGGCACCGCTGTCCTTGGAGGTGGCAGCATCGTGAATACTCAATTAACACAACACTAATTAGCTGGTGACACTTGCAGAATCCCTAATGAGTACATTCCAGGGAAATGCTCCTTTCCAAGGAAAAATATTAAAAAACAAGAGGCTGTTGCTGAAGGGAGTGAGGTGCCAGTGTCACTGCGGCTCCCTGGCACATGTCACCAAAGCCCTGTCCCCAAGCACTGGGGCTGCAGGTGACACTTTTGGGATGGCCCTGTGCAGCCCCCTGGCACTGCCCACTGCTGTAGTCCTGGTGAGCCAAGCCTGGCCAAGGGCATCCCACCCGCCACCCCTGGTGCTGGTGTGTGCCCGGCTGGAGGGAGCCCTCAGACGCCTTTGTCACCTCTTTGCACCAGCTGGGTTGGATGTGACAAGCCACCAATTCGGTGTGTTGTCACATATCAGGGTGACGCACCGAACCCCCGCCGGGAAAATTACAGAGAGGCCGATTTCCCGGCGGCTGCCGGCACGGCGGCGGCGCTCCCGCTCTCCGCAGTAATTACTGCTTTCCAACGGGCTGTAATTACTGCGAGATGCAAACTCGTCCGAGCCACAGCGTCACCCGTCAGGCACAGCCAGCCCTGACACAGCCACTCACCGCCGCGATTGTCCCCCTTGCCCACCTCCTCTTGAACTCGGACCATCGGAGCCGACACGCCGGGGCTGAGTGGGATGTGCCACAGACGGCCGGGGGCTGACACACGCCACCCCCATGGCTCTTGCCATCCCTAAACCAAACCCAGCCACTGGCAGCAACAAGCATCCACCAACAGCTTCTCCCAGATGTTCTGCTGCCTCCCAGCTCCCTCCCTCACTGGCATTCCCAAGGGATGAGTCCGGCACTCCCCAGGCTCCCAGCTCCCCCTCCCTCCCTGACCTGCTCTATTTTTCCAGCCTGCACTCAATAACAGCTAAATAATTGAATCTGCTCAGCAGCCAAAGATTTGGTTTGAATTTTATTGGAATTTTAAATTGTTTTGTTTCTTCAGTATTTTATTACTGTAAATGGAAAATGCATCGCCCGCAGTAATAATCCAATGGCTTTTTATATTACTCCGAGCTTCTGCTCGGAGCATTATTGGAAAGCCAGGCGGAGAGGAGACCCCGGCTAATGGCAGCACGGGCTTATGAGATTATGCCTCCAGCTAAACAACTTTTTACTTTAGTAAATTGGCCACCAAACCCGGCCCGAGCCACAGATGTAAATCCCAGACCCCGCCGGTGCCGCGATCTGGAATAAATCTCGGTTTATGGATCAGGGAGCTCCGGCCCTGCTGTGCCTGGAGCAGCGGGGCAGTGCAAAATGTCCGACAGAGATGGAGGGCAGCTGCAGGAGGGGTGGGAGGGGATGGGAGAAACCCCCCCAAAACCTCTCCTGACACGCACACATGCTGCAGGCGTCCCTCGCATCCCCTTATTCCCTGCATCCCTCGCATCTCCTTATCCTTGGCTTCCCCCCCATCCTCCCCATACCCTTCATCCCCCCTCATCCCCAGCATCTCCCACATCGCCCTCATCCCCTGCATCCCTTGCATCCCTGGTGTCCACAGGACCCCTACACCATGCCTGGCTGCAGCCACAGCCCTCAAGGGCTGGGAAAAAAGGAAAGATGGGAAGAAAGGAGAGGAAGGAAGATAACCAAAGCCGCCCTTACGGCAGGAGAGACCAAAGCTAATGGGAGACCAGTGATCCAAGGCTCGTGCAGCATAAACACACTCCCAGTTACCCCCAGCCTTGGCGCCACTGGGACACAATGGGCTCAGTGAGACCCAGCTGCTTGGCCCCCCTAATTGCCCTGTCAGGCTCCCCTAATTAACCCTGCCAAGCCCCCCTAATTTATTCTGCTTTTAACTGTACTCTTTAAAGGCCCTAAAGCAGTTACAAAGTGGGGAGCGAGGCCTGGTTAAAAGCACAGCCCTAAATTTTGGCCCTTGGGGGCAGGCTCCACGGCAGTGACAGACCTGATGTGGCTGCTCAGCTGTCAGTCAGGAAGCAATCCGGCACCAGAGAGCTCACAGAGCAGCAGCATCCGGCTCCAGCTCTGGCAATCACGGTCTGCCTGGTTAAAGCAGTTGTGGGATTAAAATGGCACCAGGAAGGATGCTCAGGACCAGGAAGGATGCTCAGTATCAAGAAGGATAGGATGGATGCTCAACACAAGGAAGGATGCTTAGCAACAGGAAGGATCCTCAGCACAGTGAAGGACACTTGGATGGGATGCTCACAACTAGGAAGGATGTTTAGAACCAGGAAGGACAGGACCAATGCTCAGCACCAGGAAGGACACTTGACACTGGGAAGGATGCTCAGGACCAGGAAGGACAGGATGGACACCCAGCACCAGAAAGGATGCTCCATGCTGTTCCCACAACCTGTGTGTTCCCCAGCCTGGTGGGGGACAGCATTCCTGGCTGGGCTGTCTCTTCCCTGGAGGAGGGCAAGCGCAGGCACTGGCAACTTGTGCCTTTAATTTCCAGGCCATGATGCTGCAGGAGACACTGCACTGCCAGGCAGTTGCCTGCCTCTGGAAGAGGACAGGGAGCAGGACATGGGGTGCACAGGGGGAACATTCCAGGGATCACCACCAGCACAGATTTCATGAGGAGAAGCCAAGTGGGAATGTGGCGGCAGCACATGGCACCTCACTGGTTAACAGCAGCACAGACACTCACTGCTCCCTCCCTCCCCTCCATTCCTTTCGAGATAAGATGGGACAATCCTTATTTTTACACATCGAAAGCGCTACAATATTTTGCAATAAATGAAAGAACTAATCTCAGCAGGAAATCTTTATAAAGCCGCCGACAGCGATGTGTGGCTGGAAGCTCCTTGGAGCTGCACACGGGCCTTGCCTTCCCCTGGTCCCAAAGGAAAATGTTTTCCACCCTTTTACAGATGGGAAAAAAGCATCAATGGAGGGCTTGGCTCCGTAAAGTGGGTGAAATGTGACAGCAGCCGAAGAAAAGCATCTGCCCCTGCTCTGCCTTCATGTGGTCCCATTGACACATTCACCCTGTGAAGGGGCATTTCATGGGAGCCCTGAGAATCCTGCCAAACCTTGCCCTCCCTCTTCACCCTCACCG